AGTAAACATAAAGCCAGAAATAAATTAAAAAAACCAATGAGCTGAAAGATTCTAAAATACTTTCTAGAGCTGAGGGGAACTGCAGAGTCTGGTAATATATGGATCTGAAAAATTATATCAGTTCAGTTCTTGTTTTCATTTAATAACTTCCTTGCAAAATAATAATAACACAGCTAACAGAAAAGAAGCTTTAAATTTTTTGCATGGATTGTCGACCTTTGGGGGCAGTAATGGTAAATCATCTCTGAGCTAAGATTATACTAAGCTCTAGTCTCCTTACCAGGTGTAATGATAAGTGTTATAAACAGCATAAGCACTGTGTTTACTCTTAATAAGAAAACCACAGTCAGTGCATATGTAATTGTATATTAATGTGTAGTATAAAGGCCAAATAAATTAAGTCTGTTCAGCATTTACACTGTGTGCAAGAGACACTTTCACAACAATAATTTAATAAGGGGACAGATTGCTAGAATGAAAAGGACTCTACGCTTGATAAATAGTGATAAAGGTCACAATTATCATAATAAAGACACAGGCTATTGGTAGCACTTTAATTTTACAGACTGCGACTTACAGTGTATCTAGCCCGCATTTATTTGCAGTTTCATCATTGCAATATTCACCACAGATTATTAATTGACTGCCACCTGGTTAAGCACACACTAAACAGAAACAAATTCTGAATATTGTTAATGATGCAGAGAAAACAGGGGCAACATACAGTGATAATGAATGATGTTTGTCTGCAGGTCGATCACTGGTGATGACTAGCACACTTCACAGGATTAATGACCCTCGCCAGTGACATCAGGTATGAGCTGTATGTGTGGGTGCATGTGTGTGGCCTGGTATTACTCATGTTATGTGGCTGTGAATCTGTTTACACAGTCACACAGTGGGGACTCAACATCCTCACAGGGACAAAGTCCCCAAAATGTAATTTATTATATTTTAGGGTGATGACTTGGTGTAGGTTAGTCAAGTAGTGGTTAAAGTAAGTCTCTAAGAAATTAACGTGTGTGTTATACCATTAATCTTTGGTCATTTAAACCCTTTGTGTGTAGAATTTTAAGTTATTATTACATCTTTAAAATTGAAGCACATTTCTTGGAAAATATAATTTAATTTGGTGCCAATCCAGTAAATAGGAAGGTATTTGTAACAAAAAGCTTTAACTAGCCCAAGGAACGATTCAGTAATCACACAGATCAAATTGTATAGTTTTCTGCAAACAGTTATTTGTGAGTTCAGCAGACTTGCTGACCACTGATTTAAAGTCCCTCCATGTCATGCCAGCAATGAACAGGACATAATCATATGTAATAATTGA